TTTTTTTTTTTTCGTAAGGAACAATTGTTTAACTGTTTAGCCTCTTTTCACAAGTAAGAATTATTCAATCATTTGATCGCTTTTCGCGAGGAAAAATTATTTAATTAACTACTTAGTCGAATTTCTCTTTCTTTTTTGCAAGAAAGAATTGTCTAATTGTAAATAATTCGTAAGAATTATTTAACCTTTCCTCGTACGGAAGAATTATTCAATTATACTTAGCCACTTTCCCCTCGCTCTAGTCAAAAAGAAGTTATTTAACTATGTGAAATTAAAGTAGGAATCTTTCTTTCGCGAATCTAAAAGTAACACAAAGTTCTTAATTGAAACCTGCCTCTATACCTATACTCGTGTACATTAACATAACATTTTACACGTATGAAATTTGACACGAAGTTTACTCGACAAATCCAATCGCACTTGATAGATGCACCGACGATCTAGTTTCCCCTAGACTCGGAATTCTGAAACGGATTACAGGCTACTTTCCTCTAGATGAAGACGTGGAGCAGCTCAATGATTGGACAAAACAAGCGCACGAGGCAATTCCACGCGTTGCTGTCGTGTAGAAAAGAGCTGAAAGGGTGGGACAGTATCGCGGAGATCCATCGAGCTCAGACGCGAATTAAATCCCCCGTTGTCAGGCCTGACAATCTCAGATAGAAGTTACCAGATAAACGCTTGTTCCGCGGTATCATGTACTCCCTGTTACCTTAGATCTTTGCGAGAAGAGTCTGAAAAGCCATTGATTCCGCCTGCACGCGCCATTTGTAATAATCAATTTGTCGTTTCGCTCGTTTGAATCCAACCAGACAGTTCACAAATGTATGAAAATAAATATTATTTTTTCTTTCTGTAATAAATGTTCGACAATTCGATAAATAAGATATTTCTTAAATACTAGAATTTGGGGAAAAATGTGTAGACATTGTTTTATAAAATTATAACAACATAATAATGGACAATTTATAAATCATCGAGAGAAGATTACTCCAAAAGCGTGATAACCTCGAAAATAAAGGTTCACGTTGAAAAGCACGCATTACATATTTAAAAAAGAAAAAAAAAAGAAAAAGAAAAGGGAAAGGTATTGAGCACTCGCGAAAGTTGAAACACACGGGGGAGGGGGGGGGGTGGAGCAAGTAAAACATACAATGGCTGGTTTTGTCCGAGTGCACCCCTGATGCACTCGTATTAAACTGAATGACTGGCTTTGATTGGAAAGCTACGACGCGAGCGTTTTGCGTTTTCTTCGCAGCGGGACGCGATTATCGCGATCGCCGGGACGATTTCACTCGGCGCCCTGTTATGAAACAACCTATACGCTAAACGAGTCTATTTAGCCAACATGCTCTCTCTCTTCTTGTTGCTTGTCATTTAACATTCGAGGACAGCTTTTATATGAGTATTTATAGTCACACGATACGCAGTTTGCTGTATGGTAGATGTAGCCATTGGAAAAATATCACATATATTGTTGTTGTTGCATACTATTACAAATTAATGTCAATTGTAAATATTTCTACTATTGATTTTACTATTTTGTTATTATGTACAATTACGAATTAATATCAGTCATAAGTGATTGATGATATAAATCGAGGTCCCTGCGAGAATTTGTAATTTCTAATAAAATATTGTTCGTCTGAAATAGGTTTTCTCTCAAGAACTATTAACAATTTCCACAAAGAGTGGTCCATCAGTTCTCTAGTTACGGAGATTTGTAGGACACTTCAAACAAATTGGATCTAATTTGCATTGCTTCTAATCTTCCAAATGAAAAAGAAACCGTCACAAAAAGACTTGAAAAAAAAAGAGTCTCAGCTGGTAAGAGCATTCAAAAGATGTGATTTGTCCTAACCTCTAATCTTCTAGAAACAGAATTTACTCATAGAAAAGTCTAATCTAAAATCTAAAAGAATCTAACAATCGAGACACATTTCAATACACGTTTGCCCCCAAAACTTTCGCCATTCACGAATCCTCGCGACAGCCTCGATCCGGCATATTACAACACGATACTCGCGTAACAGGCGTGCCAACCCACGCAGTTGAAACCGACCATAAATCCCAGTGCGCGACCAAACGGGATCGCGCTGAAAAAAAAAAAATACTCTCCATGTCGAGAACAATCGGTACGAAATGTAATCGTCAGCTAGTGTGCTTTTTGTTTTATCAATGCGCATCGTTCTGCGCAGGACTCGCCACGCGCATTGTTCTGCGCAGGACATGCTCCGCGCGAAATTTCTATTTACGCTTTGGATGCAATATTTTTAAAGTGATGATTGAAAAAGATTTCTCCACTATAGTCGTGTTATATTTTCAAAGTTATTCTGCCGTAATCAACATCAAATGTTGTATCTTCAATATATTATTCTATATTCCATTCTACTGTTATATTCTATTCTATTATATTATTCTATATTCTATATATTCTACTATATTCTATTTTACTATTCTATATTTTATTCTATATTCTGTACTATACTTTACTTTTCAATATGTTATGTTCTATACTACCTAATATTCTATATACTCTACTATACTCTATTTTTCTATGTATTATATTCTATACTCTACTATTCTATACTATATTCTCTACTATTATATTCTCTATACTCTCTATACTCTATATTCTATACTATATTCTCTACTATTATATTCTATTCTATACTATATCTTTACTATTATATTCTATACTATATTCTCTACTATTATATTCTTTATACTCTATATTCTATACTATATTCTCTACTATTATATTCTATACTCTACTATTCTCTACTATATCTCTACTATTATATT